TTGTCCAAATCGTCTTTGCCGTGAACACAAGAATAACGGCCGTCACGAGATGAAAATAGCATTACGGATGGATAAGCCGGATGACGATACTTCGTACTTACGGAAGGGGAAAGGATTTATTATCAGAGCTACTTTCCTTCAGTTTGGATGGCCCGTAAATACCACGGAAGGAGTCGGTCTTCTCGAAACTGTAGTATATATACCTACACGCTATATGCACTATAATATAATACTTGTTAGCTAGAGGACGAAACAACCGGGAACCGGAAGTGTCTTTAAAAATGCAACATCGTGAAATATCAACGGTTTTAGCGATCGAACCTTTCAACACTCCGACCATTTTTACCGAGTAAAATCGGCATTCACCGATGAATTTCTCGTTTCAGGTAACTTGGATCAGAAGAAAGGACAGACAACTTTTGACAGTGGGTAGAGGCACTCATGCAATCGACACGCGATTCGTGGTCGTCTCCAATAGTCCAGATTGGAATTTGTTAATCAAGAATGTTAAACACGACGATGCTGGCCTTTACGAGTGCCAGGTGACAAATAGAATTACAAGTAACAAAATCCATTAGGTGTAGACATAAGTTCTTTCCGATTTTTCGGCAAAGTAAACATTTTATTTAAAAAAATATATAAAAAGTTAATCGTTGAAATATTCGCCGTTGTTTTCTACGACTCTTCGCCACTTTTCTGGTAAGTTACGAATCCTGTCGCGATAGAAACTCGGTGGCTTGGACGCGATTTATATACTCGTCTGGGCATTTTTCGAACGTCTTCGAGAGTTTTGAATTGCGTGTCTGTTAAGCGATATTGTAGCGATCGAAAGAGGTGATGATCCGAGGGTGCAATGTCAGGGGAGTAATATGCATACGGTAAAAGTTCCCAATCCAGTGAGAAAATCACCTCATTTGCCCCTGCAGCCGTATGCAGGCAGACGTATCGTGAAATAGTATCAACTGTTTCTTGCGTTGTCCAGATAATGGCCTTTTTCTTTCGACGGCGTCATTTAAATTCAAGAGTTGCTGTTGATTGTGATCTCTGCAGTCACTGTTTCTCCTGGATTAAGGAATTCATAATACAGGATTCCCTTCGTGTCTCATCATATGCACTCAACCGAAATTCGTCGTAAAGAACTTATCTCTACACCTAACAGCACGTGTTTACCGTTTTCAATGGGAACAATCGTTTGCACGTCGTGTGTAGATACAAACGGAGCCAGTTCAGCAACGATTCATTCGCCTGAGTATCACAGAGGCGTACTCGTTAATTCCCGGAGGACCGGACCTTCACGTTAAGCAAGGGTCCAGCCTCCGACTGGAGTGTCAACTGATGGCATCCACAGAGGCGCCCAGCTTCATTTTCTGGTATCGCGAGGGTCGCATGATCAACTACGACGACGAGCCGGGGGTTCGAGTAGAGGCGACGAAAAACGGCTCGATTCTCGTGGTCGACAAAGTGAAACGCTCCCACGGTGCCAATTACACTTGTTCGCCGAGCAACGCCAAGCCAGCGTATATCATGATCCACGTGATCGAAGGTTGGTTCTCTTTCTTCAATTTTTCTTCGACTTTCTTTCGAATAAGCAAAACACGGTCCATCGTTTACAGAAACTTTCCTTTTCGTGAAAATACATTTCTCGCTTGTAGTATTTCTATCGTCGAATTGAATCGAATCGCGAAATTAGTGCTTATACAGGGTGTACCAAAAATTAGTCCCACGCTTTAATTAGCTGCCATAATGCGACACTGTCAGTTGGTATGTGACAGTTGCGAAGTAGACACATGGGAGATTTATTACGGAAGATTATAGTGGAACTTGCAAAAATTAAAATTTATCATTTGAAAATTTTTTTTATCGAATTAAGACGGAAGTGCGCGAAGGACAAAGATTAAGGATCAAGTTGAGATGAAAACGTGTCAAAAGACGCGAAAGGCACGGCGCGAGAAAATATTCGAAACGCCTATAGGTGGCAAGGGTAGAGCGCGAGAAAATATTCAAGCTGCCTATAGGCGTCAGCAGCGGTGCAAGGTTTAAAGAGAATATTGGTCCAGAAATTAACAAGATTACCGCGGACACTTTCAGAAACGTCATACAAAATGCACCAGGAAAAGATGGAATATTCGATCAGGAAAATGTCGTATTCCACGTTTAACTTCCACGTTCTGAATCTTCAATAATTAATATATATACACGGAATGATTGACACTTTCTCGTTTCTTTTCGAATTCACTTGAGTAATCATATATGAGACTAATTTTTAAGACACTCTGTGCAACATTTAGCTTTCTGCCGTAACGTTCTCCGCGTTATCTATTTCCCGAGCGAACAAACGTTATTTTCTCACCGTTACATTTCTGTTTGTAGAAGAGGAAAAACCGGCGGCCATGCACGGCGGTGATCGGCGAAACGCTACGTCGAAAGCGTCCACCAACATCACGTTGATTTTTCTCACTTTTCTCGGTTTACGGATCTCGAATCGACTTTATTCTAGGCAAGCCTCCGTCACGTGACCAGCCCACCGTGTCGACTTTCTCATCGAATTAATACCCACGGAATTCCGAATAATTTCCACTCGACTCTCCTTTCTCTCTCTCCGCCTTCCCTTTTGCAACCGTACACACCTGATCTGTATTTACCTAACATCGCCGGTTAGGTAATTCGCTCGCCCCGCGTGCAAGAAGACTAGAGCAGCGCTGGTTTCGAAATCACTCACCTCGGAATCACAATAGGGAGCCAGAATTCATCGTGAAGTTTCGAAATAGTTTTAATACGAGTGCACCCGCGATTTCGGAAGATTTCAACCACGCCGGACTGTACCTACCGAGATTCTTGAAATCCCCGAAATTCTTCGATCTGCATTAAACGTTCGACATATGTCATATAACGATAAGTAACAGGCACACGCGATACTCCTTCGTCTGGACACATCGTACGCGAAATTCAAGCAATACTAAACGCGATATAAACGCGTCCCTTCGAGCCCGTTTTCTTCGAAGAGGATGAAAAAAAAAAAAAGGAAGACAAAAGAGCAAAAGACGTGTGGTCGTACAGAGTAGTTACACACGAAACGGACGCGCGACGAAAAGAGAGGAAAAAAGGGAAAAACACTAACTATCCTTTTGCATTTATTAACGGCAAGAACGTTTAATTAAACGCTCGGTTGGCCGCGGTCGAGCAAGATGCGCCACAAATTCCCGGCAGCGAGGGAAAAGAGCGAGGAAAGAGCGCAAAAAAAAAGGATATCGACGGTGAATTCACGGATGCGACAAGTACCCGCATTCAACGCTCGCTTTCATGCTCCCAGAAGTCGCGTTTCTTCTCGCGCAAATAAAAATGAAAGCTGCTGGCATCGTGGCTCGCCGGATAAAGAGGTTCGTATTCATTCGTTGGAAGAACCGACGTAACACCGCTGGAACGCTGGAAAAGGGGTGGCGGCGTGGGAGGGGGCGGAGGGCGTGCGTGCGTTAATCAAGAATTGAAAGGGCGAACATTCTCGGATTCAGGTAAATTTCATCCATTAAGAGGGTCGCGGCATGTAGCTTTTATACACTGTGTGTGCCGTTTGAGCGGGCACAAGGATGATACTAAGGTACATACAGAAAACAAGCTTTCATTCAACCCAAAGACTGTGCGAATTAACGACGTCTAAGCGAACCGAGTTATACACAGCTTGTTGCGAATGCCGCGTGTATGGCTTTTCACCTGATATCCTGTTTATACATATGTACGTATAAGGAATACCAGACACGTTTCTTTCAGCTTACGTTAAACTCGTAATTCCAACGACGGATTGTACACCGAAACCGCGCGAATATTTTCATATATATATTTAACGTTTCATTTTTGCAACGAAGGAAACTGCGTGTGACTGGGAACGACACTTTGACAAGTTTCTGAAGTATTCGAGAAGTATGGTATACGATAGAATCGTTGCTGTCCAACCCGCTGCCCGCGGGGCGCGTACTGCCCCGAATGGCTGATAATGCGGCCCCAAAAGTAACTTTCGATTTTTAGCGATATTTTTCACCACTCGATTGCGCTGTAATAAAAAAAAAAAAAATATAAAGAGATAAAGAAAGTTTTGGGTGGTCAGTAACTGGTGGTAGAACCGAAAAGGGAGTAATTCTGCGTCAGAAAATAAATCGGAAATGTAGAATAAAATTTTTTCATATACGAGGCTTTGTTTTGGAGAAAATCGACTTTAAATTTTCATCCGGTTCACGTGCAGTTGGCTATGTCTCGACCTAATGTAAATTCCGCTGTAGCTTGCTGTCTCGATTCAGATTTGAATTTATTGCACCGAGTAATCAAGAATACAGGATAAAACGGAATATGAACTTGCAATAAATGTTATTATTACAGAAATTGTTGAAAATGTTGCCCATTCTGCCGAATGCACGATTGTGCTCTACGAACTAAATTTCCTTGAACGCCTTTTAACGTGTTCTGCTGTTTTAATTGATTCTTTCCTTTCGCTGGCCGAAACTTGTAATTTCTTCGGAACAGACAGCGGAATACATTAGGTCCAGATTTAACCCTTTGTGCTCGAAGGCCCTTTTTTCTATAAGGAAGTAGGAAAAATGAATGTAATTTTTTAAAGCTAATATTCTTTCAAACAATTTCACTGCTGAGATCTCTAAACATGTAGTGAACAATTCACGGAGGTCCATAGACCTGCTGCCTTGGAAAATGTCATCCTTAGAGTTGCCTCTAATGGTAAACATAATGTCGCTTTTTAGTCGCCTCTCGAGTGCAAAGGGTTATAGTCGAAAATGTAAAGTCGAGTTTCTCGGAAACAAAGACTTACACGAACAAATTTTATTCTACCTTTTCGATTTATCTTCTGACGTAGAATTACCCCCTTTCCTATTGTACCACCCTGTATATTTCGTATTTGGCCGAAAACGATTCCTCTTCGTGAAATGTGGCCTGGGCAGGCGAAAAGGTTGGACACACATGCTGTACACTTTGTTGGAGGGAAAAGAGAAGGCTACTCTCTATCTACTCGAATCACCGTTTCAGAGCAATATTAAAAGGCTCATTCGATGTATTAATGTGATCAATGTACATACGTGTATGTTAATTATAACGTTCGAAAAAAATTGTACACATAAATTAACTTCTATCTCGAGACACGAGAATTATACGATATCTTTTTACACGGGAAGGAAACGTTGTTAAATAAGCGTATGAGTTTCTATCATAGAATCAGATCAGATTGCTTCGTTGAAACGTGAGTTTCATTGAACATTCGGAAGTTGATGTTCTCTCCCTATTGCGTAGCGTTATAGAACTTACTACTGCAACAGTTCAATAGAGAAAAAGTTGTATTAATTGACGTTCGTAGATCTGATTGATTTCTATGTATGTATACGATAATAGACGTATCGAGTAATTTTAACATCGACGTTCAAGATTCGTTTATCGTCGACTCACACACCAAACGCGTATCAATTGTAAGAGTACATTCGGAGAATAGAAAAAAATCAAATTTTCATCCCCACGATATAATGTACAAAATAAATTGGACATTTTGAATCTATCTAACGGCACCCACTTTACTTTCAGGTACCCTATTTCACGTGTATTAAGTGTATTTCAATTCGTGCAACTGTCGGTACCCGTGTATTTACAGATCTCTACTTCACACGTTGATTTATTTGTTATAAATTTGCCATTGTTACCTACAACCTAGCAATTTGCAAAGCCATATTTTATTCCCGCTAATTACTCGAGTGTCCAGGTGATATATTAACACTTATGTCAATAACCGGGTACTCCAGTACCCTTTTGCACATTTTCTCACTTGAAATATTAGAATTTTCTTTTTCTTTTTTTTTTAAGATTTTAATATCCATCCAGATCGTTGTTACTTGACACATTTCCTACGCGTGTTTGCCTCGAGTTTAGAATTTTGTTATTAGAAAATTACTAAAATTGGTAAAATTGGTGGTTACCGACATAATTATGACATAAAAATTAGTATTGGTTAAATCAAAATGACCCATTAGCAACTTTCCAAAACAAAAAAAAAAATGAATATTCGATATTGGTAAGTATTATTGTTCTTAACTTACCGACTTTGTATTCTACATATACACTACTATTACCATACCTCGGTAAAAGGTGTTAAAACCGCGGGAACTTTCACATAGCGTGAATCTAATTTTTTAATCAGATTTTAATTACAGAAAAATTCGCTTTTGGAAACGTTGCCAATGAGTCATTTCGATCCGGACGTTCTTTCTAGTGTTAAGAACGCGGAGTTTTTAACTCCCTGATACAGGTGTATGTTTAATACACACGTCCAAAGCCAGGATCTCAACGTTTTACCAGCGAATGTGATTATCGATCGAGGTAAGTGAACGCCGTATAAACCGAGCACATTAATAAGAACGCGAAGGAACGAGTGTCTGCACGGAAGACAAGATTTCTCGTATCACTGTGATTCTATCCCGAGGAATTTCTTCGTCGACCCGTGGAATGTAATAACCCTCATTGCCCCCAGGGTAACATATAGTAAAGATGTATCTTCCGCCTAGAACACACTTAATCTCGTATTACGAAGTAAGTACTTGCAAGATGTTTCACAGGAAAATTATGGCCAATGAAAACCCTGGCCCGACCCCTACGGTCCCGATGGAAATTCGCGAGTAGCATAATCACCACACACACACACACACACACGAGTATGGAGTTTCGTTGCAGCAATTATCTCTGTCGTCCATCGGCAGATTTTCGTAGCGTCACGAACCAGAAATTCGCGTTCGAGTATCTAGTCTGAAACTGAAATCTAATTCGGTGTACGCGTACGGTATCAGAAAGTTTCGACGATCCATTAGTCACTTGTACGCTTCCAATTGCTAGCTAATCGATTTCTGACCTTTGCGGAGAGGTTAGGCAATAAGCGCGGCTTATTCCCTATGGTTAATCAAAACCTGCGGAACAATAGATAGTCGAGCGTTTGCTACTCGGCAATTTCCAAGCAAATGTACTTGATACAGGAAGTCTCAGGGAAAGCTTAACAGGTGCTGCAATGTGTGATAGGAAAAAGTAATTCCTTTTTGGGTAGAAAAAATACTGATGACCTTAAAAATTTGAAAAAAAATAATATTTGTAAAATTCGAACTGTGTTTGGAACATTTCTGATATCGTTAAAAATAAAGAGGGTAATTAAACGTTCGTTTTTAACTGAGACATTCTGTGTAATACATAGAGTGAGTCCCGCTAATATTCGGACACTCTTTGGAACAGTGTAGCTTTTTTTAAATTGGACCTAACGACTTGGAAAATTTGCAATTTGCGGAAATCGCGAAGAAAATTGTAAATGTCACATTTAACAACTCTTTCATCTGATCACGTAATGAAAATTTAAAAAGTACGTTTCTGTAGATTTATGTCGATTATACAAGCGACAGGCATCGAAAGATGTAGGAATCTTCAGATTTATTACAGTTATAGGCCGAAAGTCGCGAAATAGTGCGATTTTCACAATCCTTAACCGTTTGTAGCTCACAGCAAGTGAATAATTGGCATAAATCTACAAAACGTATTTTTTAAACTTTCATTTTAGGCTCAGATAAAAAAGTTGTAAACAGCGACCTTTACAATTTTCTTCGCGATTCCGGCAAATTGCAATTTTTTCCAAATTTCTTACACACGT